TCCGGAGAATTTGGAGTGAGGATCGAAGGATGGAGGGGAGCGGAGTGTTGACGACGGCTGGCGTTTCGAGTAGTGACAGATATTTTTGGAAATTTTTCTAAAACAAAAAATAAAATATTTTAGAAAAATCAAGGGGCCGATGTCCCTCATTGATTCATTTTTCAAGGTTTTGCGAAAATAAGTTTTTTAATACTCAGCTCAAATTTCATTAAAGATCATATTTTTTACTTTAAGGGCCTCTTTGGTTCGTTTCCTCGATATAGAGAAATACAATTCCATATAAAAAAACACAAGTTTTGAGTTTTCCAAACTTTTTTAAGAAATAGATTGTTTAGCTTTCGTTCGCACATAAAAAATGGTAAGAAACAAATGTATTTACTTTTCTTGTGTTTGGTTCGCATGGAAAAAAAGGAAAAACTTTTGTTGATATGAAACTTTCCATTTTTCTTGTGTTTGGTTGGTTTTGAAGTTTGTAGAGAAAAGTGTTTATGATCACCATGGTAAGATTACCCCCACTATATAGAAATTTATTTGTGCTCGTTATATGAGGTAATCTTAATCATATAAAAGTTCGAATTAATATGAACAAATAATAATATCCCCAATAAACTATTACCAACCATCAAGAGTGGGACCGTACGATATAGTTTTCGCAGAAGCCAACTTGACCTTGATTATCGTTTGAATGCAAGCCAATTTTATACAACATCACTTTGAACATCTAAATCTAAACACAGCTCAAATTACGTGCGAGTTTTACACAAGTTTAGAGCTATACTACGTAAGCATTCAACTTGACCAGAAACTAACAAGGAAAACAAGCACACATCAATAAGCTTCGCTAGGAAAAATAAAAACAGGCGATGTACATTCGAAAGACCTCAATCGAGATCGAATACGTACAGAACTTTTCTGTGTGCATATCAGTTTGATTTATAAAAAAAGAGTTGAAGGATCAAAACAAATTTGAAGTTGTCCCAAATAACAGAGTCCACAAGTGGTAATGTAAATCCAAAAAACAAATCATTACAGCCAACTAGAGATTTGTGAAAGAAAATTAACACCAACAACAATGACCACTGCCTTCAAGAGAAGAAAGAGAATTACATCACAGACATCGACATAATCTAGCAGGCAATGGATGGATCTTGCTGTAGCAATTCCCTCAGGTTGTTTTCCACCTCTCCCACCTGTTTTTCTAGGTACTGCTTCAAAGTATACATACCCAGAAAAAAGAAAATAATAGTTAATGCAATGTGAATTCCTTGTAATCATAGTTTCAAATGAAACTGAGCTGGGAGAGCAGGACCTGCAAAGAAGCAATAGCAGCTTCATTGTCCTTGAATTTCTATTCAGATGAAACTTTGGCCAAAATGAACCTGTAATTGTTTTTTTTTAATTTGAATGCTACAAAAGATACGGTTTCCATGGAAATATTAGGTACCAGTTCAAGAATACTCACTCTTTTTCTGCAAAATGACAAGGATGTCATCAATATGTATAGTTTCACAGACTAAAGAATAACCAAAGTTGCACAAGAAGTGAACCAAGTTTCTACAAACCTGAAATATGTGTCATCAATATTCTTAACTCAAACAAATGATGACTGTATTGTCAGCAAGATCCCTCATCAACCTAATTAAACAATTCTGAAAAGATTAAATTTTCATTTAAAAAAAACACCTAAGAAGTCAAGCTATCAGCCCCCTTTCTGAAAAACATGTCTATCTTGAACTTGTCCATCTTGTACCTGAGAAGTCAAAAACACCATATGATTGAAGTAAAAGAAATAAACGTGAAACAAGAATTTTAATTCCATATGATTGAAGTAACAAAAATAACACAGGAAGAGAGGGGTAGAATACTCACAACCACGCTCACAACCAGGCTCATAATCAGGCTACACAACCAACCAACCAACTTGGCTACACAAAACCTGAACATGCTCACAACACTTCCACAACATGGCTCACAACCAGGCTACAAAACTAGCAAACCAACCTGGCTCACAACCAGGCTACACAAAATAACCAACAACAACAAGTATACCAAAAATAACCAACCAACAAAAACTGAACAGGCTCACAACCAGTCTCCACAACCAAGCTCACAACCAACAATATAAAACCAAGTAACCAATGTGTTATTATAAGCAAGTGAAATAACATCAGATGTATCAAAAATAACACAAGAAGAGAGGGGTAGCATACTCACAACCAGGCTTCAAACCAGGACTTGACAAAATCTGAACAGGCTCACAACCAGGCACCACAACCTAGCTCACAACCAGCAAACCAAACCAAGTCACCAATGTGTTATTATAAGCAAGTGAAATAACATCAGATGTAACAAAAAATTAACAAATGAAAAGAGGGGTAACATACTCACAACCAGGCTTCAAATCAAGACTTGACAAAATCTGAACAGGCTCACAACCAGGCTCCACAACCCAGCTCACAACCAGCAATATAAAACCAAGATCACAACCAGCAAACAAAACCATAACAATGAACATGATACACCCACCAGCATCCTCCAAACAAGCACAAAAGCAACCAACATCCTAACAATGAACATGATACACCCACCAGCCAACCAAAAAAGAATCAGGAAACACCAACCAGTCACCAAAATAAATCAGGAAACACCAACCAGCTACACAAATTGAACCATGAAACACACATCATGCACCAACAATGAACATGAAACTTAGAAAATTTCCTGGTTGCAATATAAAACCAAGCTCAGAACCAGCAAACCAAACCACAACAATGAGTACATGATACTCCCACCAGCCAACCAACAACATAACCAAGAAACACCAACCAGCCACTAAAATGAATCAGGAATCACCATCCAGCCACACAAAATGAACCAGGAAACACACATAATGTACAAACAATGATATGTTAACTTAGAAAATTTCCTAAAAGCTAATCTCACTAAGAAAATAGAGACTTGTGCATAATGGAAGCAAATAGAGACTTACTATCATATAACAATAATATATTTCATTGTCATAATGTTCAACAACCACAAGTAAAAACATCATCTAATAAGATTAGTGTCTCTAAGTTAACCAATAAAAGTCTTTAAGCAAAAGTCTTGTGCATTTCAAACATAAATGTGCTTAAATGAGAATCATAAAATACCAAGTTAACCCATCTCCAATATGTTTTCAATCCTCTTTGTTGAGATATGACTCAATCATCTCCTTCTAACCATTCGAAGATATGCCCATAAATAGTCTAAATTCATGCTCATTCATAAAGAGGTGACGGTAGTATGTATCTAAGTTGGCAACTTTAAAGTCATGTGAATGAGCATATAGGACCGTTGATAACTTCTCAGTCCAATGCATATTTACACACTTCTTTAAAGTCATGTGAATGAGCATATAGGACCGTTGATAACTTCTCAGTCCAATGCATATTTACACACTTCATGTTTGTGCTAAATACATGCATATAGGACCGTTGATAACTTCTCAGTCCAATGCATATTTACACACTTCATGTTTGTGCTAAATACATATATCTTATCCACCATTTTTAGCATGATCTCACTATCTAGGTTGGTCTTACGCACCTTTACCTTGTCGGAGGATGACTTAGCCTTAGAACTCGATGTGTTGGGTGCTTCCTTAGGCGGAGGAGTGTCCTCGTCATCTAAAATATGTACTTGAGTAGATTGGGGAGAATGCATTGGTGAGTTCGCCTCATCTCCAAGATTTATGGTCTCACTACGGCTAAACTTTTTCAAGCATCACTAGCAAATTATCCTGTAGCTTGATCATCCTCAATGATAAGGGTGAGATCATCATAATGTCTCAAAGGTTTATTTACATATTGTCTAAGCTTAGCATTCTTAAAGCTCTTATCTTGAAAAAGTAAATTTTAATTAATTCAATGAAAATAAACAAAAGAAATGGGAAATAAATCTATTCTTTAAACAGAGATTATTTACCTCAATCCACCTATCCAAACATTCAGGATCCATGATGATAGTCTTCGTACTATCATCCCATCTGACACCACTAAGGTTACGACAAGTTTCCATATCATGAAATCTTGACCGTAAAGTTTTGATGCGGTGCATCACATTATCCCATTTAAAAACTGTGTTAAACTTCTCATTAATATGTTGAGAGGCCATATGATGTTCTCTTAAATATTTTGTCGGGTTTGTAACCCTTTCTTACCAAGTCGACAAGAAATGGAATGAGCTCATCATCATAACGGGATTTTGTCGGGTTTGTAACCCTTTCTTACCAAGTCGACAAGAAATGGAATGAGCTCATCATCATAACGGGAATCCCAGAACAAATGTTTGGTTTCTTACCAAGTCGACAAGAAATGGAATGAGCTCATCATCATAACGGGAATCCCAGAACAAATGTTTGGTGCCTTGAGAATCACCAGCTTCAACAATTAATTTTTTGGATGTAGTTTTCTTCTTCTTCTTCTTTGGATCTAGCGATGTTTTTACCCCTTCTTCTACGAGGTCACGTTTGGAACCTGATTCGGGAGTAGATCCATTACCACTAGTGTGAGAAAGCTGCAGGCCACTCAGATTAGGACTGTGAAATTATGGAGGCAAAGTTAGAGAATTCAGCATGTTCGTATATGACCTAAGATTATGGTGCATTGGATAGTAGTTGTTATCATGGAATGGCATGTTCGGGTATGCTTGAGGTGGTTGTACAAAGTCCGACTACTGAAATGGAAAATACCCACCATCGCCGTGATGCACAGACTGAGAGGGTTGAGGTTGTGGGGAAGGTGATGGAACTACTCCCTTGCCTTTTTGATTCTCTCCCACTCAATGATGTATTATCAGCCATTACTAATTAAATAGAGAAAGTTAGATAATTGAAAGAAGTTGAACATGAATACATGAATTAAAAAAGAACGACATTAATGTAAATAGAGTTATTGAGTACATGTGAATGAGCATAAATAGAAGAAAAATAAAAATCAAGTCT